GGCAGGCTCACAGCCTCATTAGGATCAGATGGACACTAGCCGCTGCAGCCCAGGCTGAGTTCCAGTGACACAACTAGGCTGGAATGTGGGTCAGTAGGCAGAGAGATGATGGACTGCAACCAGGGAAAGTTTTCTGCAAGCATTTGTGTGTGTGTGTGTGTGTGTGTGTGCCTGCCCTCAAAAGCAGATGTGTGTATCTGCGTCTCTTCCCGCTTGTGCTTTCCCCATCTTCCCCGACCACTTGAAAAAATAGAATTAAGGGAAGGGTGTGTGTTGAATGTTGAGTAAGAAATGGATGACAGTGAGACAACTTCTCCTCTCTCCAGCTGACTACAATTCCCTCTGAGCATGTCACAAAGTCCCTTGGCACAACCTGAACCGAGCCTTGGACATTATTCAGTACAACAACAGCTCATTCTCACACAGGAGATCACAAGGTTATTCTAAGATAAACCTATTTCTCTTCTGCCTACATTAAATGTCCTAAATTCAGTCAGAGATAAGCAGCCAGTTCAACCATGCTCTTAGAATCACAAACCAGTGCTGTGTGTGTTTATGGTCCGTTTCCTCCACCGCCCCACTGTGTAAACATGCAATGTATACACTCCATACAAACCAGGCCAGTCAGAACACAACCAGTTAACATGGTGGAAACATTGCTCAATGTGTATGTGTGTGTTTTTTTGCAGCGGTAAGAGATTCATCACAGCGCAGCTAGGGGATCTTAACAGTTACGAAAGTTTGTCCTCCCACTTTCCAGGAATGCAGACCTTCAGATGTTGCTCAATTAAAAACATTGCTACGGTAAGCTGCAGTTTTCACACTCACTTTTCAAACTGCATATTCACAGTTGCATGACCTGGATGGTGGTTTACAAACAAGAAATGCCAAAGTGACAAGTATAACTGGTCGTGCTTCTTGCTAGGGAGACTTGCCAAAGATAAGACATCTCACCTGCTTTTGTGTTTTTCCGCCAATGTTTACAGGCCGCGCCATTGTTCTGAAGTGATGCAGTTGTGTGTCAAAGGTAACACGAGCAAAAGAGATATTCAATACGCGCTCTTTGCCTATAGGAATATTAACAGTGTGAAATGTGTGATTACTTCCCTTGGAACATTTCTCTCTTCTCTCACCCAGTCTGTTAAGCACAATTGAATGAATCATGCAAGCCAACTATTCAATCGAAGGATTTCTCAGGCAGCAATGCGTACTAATGCTGCATGGTTATTGCATCTAGTTAAGAGTTAGCTATAAGGTCTTAATTCAACCAGGTAACTGTACTGTAAATGCCATGCCACATTCCCTGGTGACACGGTGAAGAAATGTATATGCTCAAAAAGAAAAGGAAAGTTGAATGAATGAATGAGATTGTTTGTTACACAAGGAGGATGTATAAATCAGACAGAGGGTGCTCTCCATCCAGCCAAATCATCAATTCTCCACAGTCCCACCCTAAAAGCACACATCACAAACTTCTATCGGGCCACCAGTAAAGCTGTCACATGCTGTCTTATACCTTGGGAATATGTAGATGTCTGTGACACAGCCACGCACAGATCTCTTCTTACATGCACCGGAGATTTAATAAAGGGGAGGCAACAGGTTGCAGCTGTTTGGGCCTAAAAGGCTTATTTTATTGCGGAAAATAAATGTAGCCCAGAGATGGGAGAGAATAAAACACATATGCTCTAAGAGGAGACAGCCACGGTATGAACATGTGTCTGAAAGTGATTACACGTGCAGAAGTTTCTCAGTGTGGGCGTAGCATGAACTTGAGAGCAGAAAATCTTGTCTGGCAAGTTAACCGTCAGAGCTTCCCACAGGAAAAAGAGATCCTCTTACCTCATCATTTCCTTCAGGAAAAACTTTGTGTTTTTAAACAAAGAAGCGCCATGACCACTGAGTTTATATTGTCAACACTAGCACAACAGCAGCTGCTGCTGAGAACCTCACATCACTTTAGGTTACCTTGAGTTGCAACTGAACAATTACAGTGTGATTTGTGACAAGTCTACCACAATTTATCTTTTTATTTCAAACTCACTGGGCGAACTCAGATGTGCATTTGGAGCCTTGAAAACATGCCTGTTTTAGTTTCTCCACACACCAGCAAATATTTTCATGTGCATCCCACACTTTGCATGGTTGGATAGTTGCATTATCCTGAAATGAACCAGTAATTATGCAAACAATACAAGAAAGTCTTTGAACCTTGACTATGTTATTTAGTTAATTATTGATTTCCTTGTGCTGCATCACTACAAATGAATTTCAAGGTCTGAAAGTGACAGGAAACAAGTTGCTCCTCTCTGGTCCAAGACCTGATATCTGATTTTGGTTTCACTTCCTGATATAGTATAAAGTACAAACAGCCCAGCAGTTACTGATGTCAATCTAAGGTGTCATTGCTGTTTACTTTAGAAGTTCACTTGTGTTACATGATTCTTTTGTTAACTTCTTCTGAGATTACTAATGAAATGCAAGGAAATATTGTGTGCAGATTGGGTGATTTAACTCCCTCAAGAGAGCCTCCTGAGACAAAATGGTGATTTTGTAAAGAAAATGTTCCAATGTTCTAGAAAATAGTGCCGGGCTGAAAATGGGGCTCAGAGAGTGAACACACGCAGGTGAAACTACAACCAATCTGAGCCATGACAAAGGCCATTGAGGTGTGAGACGGTTGGAGTTCAGGGTGTGCCTGGCTCGTCTGTCAGGCTGTGTTTGTACGAAACGGTTGCTGTCAGTTTTAAAAAATGAATGGTTCTCAAACCGGAGTCATCTAGGCTTGCAGGGACTTGTCGGTGAGGTCATCGATTGGGAAGCAGCATCACACAGTGAAATAAGTTATTACATGTTAGCCATTAGCCTTATGCTGAATGAATTCCCTAAAGGGAGCAGGTAGGAGCTTCTTGCCCTTTTCAAATTCTGAACTAATATTTCCTCATGAACGTTGGCTAGGATCAAAATGTTGCCTTTTTTTTTGTCCAACACATTTTCGGTAACTTTAACACAGTTTGAGGATACTCTTCAGTATTTAGTTCATTAATTATTACCCCCCCCTGCTAAATGTAGGACAGGATGTGCACGCAAATCCCTTCTTGCAAATTCTGAACAAAGTAAAGGTAACCACGGCACCACAAGGTTATAAATCCTACTGGGACTCTGGGACAGGAAAAGTAAGTATTTTTCTCAGGTAACCTGAAAGTATCAGGTTACAGTTGATCCCACGCTTCTGCCGATAAACTCTTCATCTATTAAAAAATAACAACTAAATGACATGTATCTGTACTGGAGCCATTTGCTCTACTCTTATTAGACAAGTAGCTCTCTGGGGGACAGCAGCTGCATGGAATGAGTCTGAGTGGCACGCAACACCCACCAATTACATGGACCACTAGAGTAACAAAGAGAGATGTAAGTAAGTAAGACATGCCACATAGCAAATACAAGCCTCATGAAAGGGGACAAGAGGGTAGTATCATCCAATAATGTAGAAGTCATTGAGCGATATTCATTTTTCCATTTACAGGCACTTACATTAACAGCGCTACTCTCCACCTGCATGCCTGTGTGAATAGCAGCACAGCATGCAAGTAGCAGTTCACACAACCCCTGTAACCTTGTTCAGAGCACATCAGGTGCCCAGCATGCAGCAGCCACTGCAGAGGGGAGGATCCACAGCAGTATCACACACACACACTCTTCAAGGGCAAGCCTCAAGGACACGCGCCATCTAACCTTCTGTAGACCAGCAACTGGTGCACAAGTCGCACTCATTTACACACGGCAGGTACTGCAAAGTGACACCGAGGAGGGCAATCAAGCAGTTGGATCAATTTTATGATCTGCCCTCATTTACAGCTGACTGGTGTGTGATAGTAGGTCATGTTTCTGGAGAGGCACTACCACAGCAGTGTGTGGTGGATCGTGACCACACTTTCGTTGCGAGGCAAGATGTATGATGATGTCTGTATTATTTGTTACTCCCACTTCAAACATTTAGATGCTGCGATTGCAATTGAGATGAAAACAAATAAAGTTTGATGGCAAGGTCTATAAGTTTGTTTTATAGAGGAATAGAGTAACGTGTGCTGTTAGCAGGGTATGGTGTAATCTTTGAATAAAATTACAAAGACTTTATTACAAAGATTTATATGCAAATGTGGTATAAAAATTTAATGTTGCTTTTGATGTTACCATGCTTTACAAATCAACCAAAGTCAGGATAGCATTGAAATCACAAAGTGACATGTGAATATAAAGTACAGTACAGTGCTATTTTTTTCCTCTTTCTGCTGATTTTTCATATTTTCTTAACAAAATAGGAGTTCCTCGATGCCTGGTGGCACGTCATAGAAGGAGCAAAGCCCATTAATCTCCTTCATCAGGAGTGATAAGCTATTATTTACAGAACAATCTGTACATCAAACAATCAAAACAAACCAGGAAGTGACTCATTCTCACTCATATGTAAAGGAAAAGCATTCACACGTGTGTGCAATGATGAAATGAAGACCTCTCAACCAATTTCTACACCTGAAGGCTACAAATATCCACTATCACACTGGTAAACTATTAAAAGTTTTTCCCGTCACAGCATACCAGGAATTATCTTGGTCATAGCTAGAAAAATTAATTACATTACCCCTGTTCTCAACTAAAAACACTGTGCAAAGAAAGAAAAAATAAAACAGCACACCATCTGCTCCTCCCCGTATCAGGTTCACTGGTAAGCACAGTCAATGCATAGGAATCACACAGCAATATCGTATTCCAGATAAAATACAGTTATTTACATGGAGCGTGTTGTTATATAAAAACTGTAGCTTTTCAAAAAGTGACAGGTAACTTGAGAGGAAAAGTTCCAGACTGTGAATGAGGCAGGTCATTTCAAAAGCACACTTGTTTGTGTCTCATGAGTGCTTCAGTTCAGATAATCGGCGTAGAAGTTGCTGTTGTCGGGTTCGGAGGCGTTTCTTCTCCTGGAGCTGCCGTTTCTCCTTGGTGTGCAGCTCCATGAGGTACTCTGTAGCATGGGTCAGGATGGCCACCTTTGGGGTCTTGGCTGACTCCAGGCCGGGGATCTCATCCCGCAGGGCGAGGAAGCGGGACCGGAGATCATTCCTCCTCTTTCTCTCAAGGAAGTTGTGGTTCCGCCTGCGGTCTGTGTCCTCTGTGTCCGAGGTTTGGGGAGACTCTGAGGAGGTGGGCTGGGGGACACGGGCCGAACAGCCGGGCTGCTGACTGGATGCTGTGCAGGTGCGCTTGCTTTGAGGCTCTTCCTCATACTCCTCCTCGTAATCTTCCTCCTCCTCCTCCTCGTCATCAGGTTCTGGCTCGCTGTCTGGGGAGCGGGCAGCGTAGTTGTGCTGCTGCCGGTGGACAGACATGTGGAAGCGTTTGGGGCAGGGGTCGGCCCGCACCGTGATGGTCACTGGTTTTCTGACATTCACCAGCCGCACCCGGTTCTGCTTACTCTCCACAGTGACCACGTCGATCTCTTCTTCATCATCATCATCATCATCATCTGTGATCACATAGGGAAACAACTCATCAATACTCAATGTTTCAATGCCATCCTTTACTAAAAACTTCACACCCCTGCATGCTAAAATTTACACAGCCAGACATGCAAATCACTACTCCATCTGAAGAGGGCAGAGCAGGAGTTGAGGTGTTAGCAGCAGTGGTCATCAAGTGGCCAAATGCTTGCAGGAATTCAGGCTTTTGTCATTGAGGCTGAGCATTCATCAACCATTTAAATTGGGAGATCTGCTGACAGGGGGCACGCCCTAATTTGGGAAGTGTTAAAGAATTACTCTCACGGTCTGGCCCTGTGTGTGTAGTAGTGATAAATCATCAGGGCTCGGTCACCCCGCCCCTCTGCCGCACTCTGATTGTAATGCAGAGCCAGTGGCAGATATCGAAAGAGGAGGAAATTCAAGTAAAAGTGATGGGGGCGCGGTTTTTAAAAGATTGCATGCGTGTCTTGAGCAAGCATGTGGCGCACTGTCAAGAGAGGGTAGAAATCCAGCTTCAAAATGTGACTATGTTGTACTTGATAACCTCTCTGCGCCACAGACCAACAGTTATGCAACTCCCAGCTTTCCAAATTACGCATTGGTAGAGGGCAATATAATCCTGAGGCAGGGGCAGGGAGGGGCAATTTAGAGCATGACTGCTTTCTTACCGGAGGAATCAGAGCGAGACTCGGAGCCAGAAGACGCCGGCCTCCTGCAGCTGCTTGACGGGATGGTGAGAACAGCCGCGGGGTCGACGCAGTCTGTCGCCGAGGCGGCGAGCGGGCCACCGGGAGAGACGCATTGCGCTTTGCTGGGTCTCATGGCGATCTGGGCCACCGGGGGAACACCGGTCTGTGCCGAAGCTGACACTCTCCCGTTGACCTTCTCCAGCTGCTTGCTGGCAGAGAAACTACTCCACATGCAGTCCTGGATGATGATGGAGCTGAGGTTACCGAACAGCTCCTCCGTGTCGGGGATGAACTGCCCCTCGTACTCCTCGTCCTGACCAAGGACTTTGGACAGCCAGCTGAGCTTGTCTCCCGGTGAGAGTTGCAGAGAACCAGTGCTTAGAGTCCGGGTGGGAGACATGGGAGGGGTGGGCAGCAGCTCGAACTTTTTCCATATGTCCTCGCTCGGTGCGGTCGACTTGTAGAAATCCTCCTCTGTGTCAAAATCGTTGAAAAAATAGTGCTGGTAACAGTCGAACTCCATGTTTCCAGATAATAAAATCCAAGTTTATTCCAAGAAGTGATCAAATGAAGAACGTCCTGCAAAACCTGAAGGGGAAATATCACAGTGATTAGCAGTGATCTTTCGGAAAGTAGGTCCCATGATGTATGATCACATTTCTACTATCCAGCTAATGGGCTATTAGGATATCACATCCCCCTAACAGCCTGCTTTCTCCAAATGGGACCACATTAATAATTGATTGAATCTTGCGGATGCCCTCTTTGCAGTGATGGACTCAAACTGTCCAGACACACAAGGTTATGCTAGGTAGGCTATATTTAGGCGTCACGTAGCCTATGACAAATTTTTAAGTGAACACAGAGACCTCAGATAACATACTTTGTTTTACAGGACTATTCTGCGTCGGCTAACAAGTCAACCCGTGAGGCTGCATTTCCTGAAATGTAGGGAGCGCTTTGTTCCACAGAGAGACAGAGGGTCATGTGAGCCGGCGAGGAGGAAAAGTGCTTCTCCGTCACAGAGCAGTCTTACAGACCAAGATGCATTTCCTCATTTGAAACTTCCACAGGCACACAGACTAGGATAAAACTACTCACCGGCTTTCAGCTAAATCCCGCAGCGAAATTGAGGGCACTGAAATCCCTCGGCAGCCAAAGAGCAGAGTGTCCAACGGCGCACGGAGATCAAGCGGATAAAAGCTGTTCGAGTTCAATACTCTTTGAGTTGTTCCTGTAGGCCTGTACAGAAAGATGCGGCGTATCGACGCTGTTTGTACTTTTTTCAAGTATTTTTTTTTTTTAAAGCAACAAAAAGCCGGGGCGCGAACAACAGGAACAAGGTCCGCCCCACAATGTGTAGCCTAGAAGCCACACAGTGCGTTTTTCGCGCCAGTGAGATATCCTGTTATAAGGCGATAAAATAGTGCAGGGAGGAGCCTCAGAAATATCTGCAGCGGTAGATCCGGGTAAGCCCTCCATTTCCATCAGAGGCGGGGGAAGGCGCTCAGCCCCGCCCCGTCTACAGCACCAATTATGGTCACAATAACCAACATAGTTCATCATCAGTGGGCTATTTGTTGCTCTTAGAGAAGTAGAAGGAGACAAATATGTTTTTTGATACTATAAGTTCCTTTCAGCTGACAGATGTTTTATTTAGACCCAAGTACATTACTTGCCTCTCTTAGCCTACTTAACCATTCGCTGCTTTAAAGGCTACTCTGCTGCATATAAGAGTAAAATATTATATTTCTCACTGCACATTTCATTGCTGTAGTTGCAAACTGCTTTGTATATTAAGCTTCTGCATACAAGGATCATCTTAATGTAAACTTAAATATATAAATATGAAGCATATTCACTGATGAAACTATTCTGCGGTATATAAAGTAGTTAAATTTACCTTCACTTTTTTTCAGCAATTCAGCAACCTAATTCCTGACATTTTTCAGATCATATTTTAAATGCAGTACTTTTTACTTGTAATAGAGTATTTTTACATTGTTGTGTTGTTGCTTTTACTTTTACCACAGTGTCCCAGAATAACGATACTTTACATAGCACAAAGTAAGTATTTAATTATATCAGCATAATGCATTTGAGATAGTCCGCAAGGTAGTTTGACACAGTGGTCACATCCAGTCCGATATCTTCATCCCTGTCTCTTCATTGAGACGCTGTGATTAGTCAACCCTGACGCCAAACATCAGTTTGAAGAGGATCCTCTTTTCCTTAATAATATTAAAATCTGCAGATCTCAGAAGTCTAAAATACTTCAGTGACAATAGAAATAAGTTGTTAGAAAATAACTGCCTATTTTGCACTTTATCTTAATCCAGCTAATTTTGAATCTGTCTATTATTACTGATAACCAGCTGCAGGCACATCAGTTGGAAAGGAAGACAAAGCAGCTGTAGAGCAGGGTCGTGAAGTAGTATAGGTGTGAAAAGTAGTTGATTTCCAGTATCAAGTCTTCTAATTTGTATTACAAAATGTTGGAATTCAATGCAGATGGTCCTTCATTTCCATACTCTTGGCACAGACAAAGCATATCCGGTTAAAAGGTGTATTATATTCCAAGCTACAAAACATTTCCACAGTGAAGGGTGGAGTGCGTCTTTGAATGACCTGCATTTTAACACAAAAGAGCACAAAGAATACACACACAGTCAAGATTCAGCTGCTGAAAGGTTTGCAGATGCTGGTGAAGTGAGTGATCTTCTTTACAGTGAGACAACTCTTCAAGTTAATGTCTTTCACAAACACAACTACAATTGTTCTTAAGTATCTTGTTTACAGGCCACAATAGCAGCTGTGCCAGAGAAGGATAAAGAGCACCCCCATGTGCACTCAGTGACGTGAAACCATTTTAACGCTAACCATGATATCACCATATTGTGCAAAGCAATGATTAAGTAGACACATTATTTCTCTGGTGTGAGCAAATTTTTAAAGCTCACTGGCAAGCAAAAGGTCAGAGTTTACCAACGTCTCATGACCAGACAACGCCAGGTCAAAATCACACACACCGCCCATGGCCTCATCCTCCTCCTGCCTGACATATTGATCTTCTCCTTAATTAAGCGTCTCAGTGGACAAGACAAAAACCTCCAGTTTCTCTGGTCCTATTCAGGCTAAGCTGATGACACTGATTATTAGTGATGGACATCTGTCGTCAACGACCAGCCCGAGGTCAAACACATGTACCCTCCTCAAGTGTGGTACATGGTAAAGTGAAGTACTGAAGGCACTATCAATCAATTTCGTACATGACACAGGGAAGAGAGTTGATTCACAAATCTGGTGGTTTATAAGGACTTCAGCTTTTAGACATAGAATGTCTTGATATCCTGGCCAAGGCCAAAAAGCTATAAAAAATATAAAGTGCGCAGGGGAATCAAACCTCCGATTCAGATGTACTTTGAATCAATTCCCCACCAATCATGTTGCATGATGAGGAGGAGCATTTAGAAGCTTACATCAGCAAAATTAGTTGTTGTCTCAACATTTTTTAGGACATCTTACACACGTTGGCTTAAAATTTCAGACTTAAAGTTCATTCTTGACCTTCAAAGCAGCAGTTGACAAAACAACCTCAAACTAAAAGGTCCATACAGTAGCTGTTTAGGAGCACCATCTCTCTCAGCAGGTTGAGTCTGCCCTTTTGCCACCAAATTTCAAAAACATAAACTTTCAATCTCAATTGAGTCACAAAGTGTACGACTTGGACTTGATTTAGGACTTACCCGTCTTGACTTAGGACTTGATTCCGAATTTCGTAGTCAAGACTAAAGACTTGCTTCTGAGATTCATAACAGTGATTTTGTCCCACCTATGGTCGGGTAAACCCACATTTTATTTAGAAAATCAATTTTCCACAGATGGTTACACATTTGTTTATCTGCTAACTTGTAACTCTACAATTATGAAGTGAATGCAAAAGTATTATCTGCAGAGTTCACTTCTAAATGTTTTACTTTTAAATTCGGTTAGTTTTGTAAATCTCATGCATCTTAACCAGACATTGTCTACACTCTTTTTGTAGCCCGTTATCTTATCCTCTTTATCTTGTTTGCATTTATTGTTTAATGTTGCCTTCTTGGTCAGCTATCTCTCCAAAAATACATTTTAGAATAGATCTCTGTGAGTCTTTCACCAGGCTAAATAAATGACCATGTATGCAAAACCTCATCTAAAATAAGTTTCAAAAAGAGAGATATTTTAGCCAACTTTTAGCTTTACCAATGTGATTGTGGAGTTCTCTTGCACACATAGCAATGATCATAGCCTGTAGATCCTTAAACTTCACGTCCCATAATTACACAGTGGGCCAACCCTCAATCTGCTATGTTGGGAATATTTCATCCCTGCCAAAGAGAAGAAAGACAAAAACTTTGGTCCCATAAAATTCAGATGAGGCCATCCTCCTTTTCCTCTTCTCTCATCCTTCATTTAAACTTGCAGATCTTTTCCTCTACTCGGACATTGTTGGGGTAACAATGTTTAACACCAACAATAGCCAGCTCCCTTAGTCATCTCCCAGCTTAACTTCAAGTACCCGCCATTGTCTTTTATTGTTATAGTAGCATATGTGTGAGGGTAAAAAGGGGGGCGCAGGGGGTTGGGATCCACCTCAGCAGAGTCCTCATGTAGTCTGCAACACCCACTCAGCGGCCTGAAAAATATCGGACACAATGCAGTGCAGGAATTTGGATAGTTTTTCGGGGACTGTGTGTGGAATTGTCCCCTTTAGCTATATAAGGGGACATCCTCCTTTTCCCCACGACCTCCATGACACAGGAACCCCCCTAACCCTCACCTCTGACCTTCTCCACCCATCTAAAAAATAAATGTAGCAGGTTAAAAAGTGGGACCAGTGAGCCCTCAGAGAAGCTCTGAGAAAGGCCATGCAGACGAGGAAGACAACATAAATAATTCACACAAGTGTTATTGCTCCCTGGGGATGTAGAACAACCCCCCAAATACCATGAGGGTGTGCTCAGCATGGTGCCAGCTTTACCTTTCAACATACCAAAGATCTATATCAGGCAATGCATGCATTATATCACTGTTTCTGTTGTAATCATCTTGTGCCTTTTCATTACCTCCTGAGTAAAGTGCTGCTGTACAGAAAATATTATTAGATATGGTTATAGTATAAGTTGCTCACCTGACGTTAGCATTAAATTATAAATGATTGTTGTTAATATTAAAATGGAAACTACACATCTGGGTTCATGATAAACAAAGGACATGCTCATGCCATAAATATAGGCTATTGGTTTATTACATCCGTGCAATGTTTGCTGATGATACAGTGAGCTGTACATCATATGACTGTACTGCAGCCCAAAGCAAACTGAGAATATGTTAGGGGCATACTTTATACAGAGTGAGCACTTTATGTGAAGCAGTAACATAATTGTAACAGTTGAAGAGCCACATCCCTGAAGTGCAACCTTAGCCTCACTGCAGTATGGACTGAGTCAGGCTGCCACCTGGTGTTTGCTATGTGTGAATGACTGATTTAAGAGCTGATCCACACACTCACATATCACTGTGGAATTACCCAGTGGTAGAGGAAGTGTTTGTAATTTTGACTTAAATAAAAGTAGAATTACACCAGTGTAAAATACTCCGTAACAAGTAAAAGTCTTAAAAAATAGGGAACAGCTCAGAGGTATTGTACAGTACATTTGCATTTACTTATTTGGATTTCTTTATCCAAAGCAACTAACCTTTGAGGAACATGATGTAAAGTAAGGTAAAATCCACTTCAAATACCCATAGTCAAAGTACTTATGCAGACTGCAACAATGGCCCCATCTTTATTATAATTTCTGATGTGTTAATATTATTGTAGCATTTTGATGTTGTAGCTGGACAGGCTAATTGTGCATACTTTATATGTACTGCTGTATGTGCAATCTATAACAATGCAGTTTCTTAATGCAAATTTTCAAGTGTAAAACATGTAAACACTACAAAGTACAGCATTTCCCTTTTAAATGAAGGGAAATAAAAGTATATAATAGAAAAATAGTAATAGTAAAATATAGTGTTAGTAGTTATAGATTCTTGTATCCATTAAATCTGAGAGAACTGTTGAAATGGGCTCCACCAGCAGTTTGTTACCCTGTACCTTAAAACACTGCATTCAAGATCACCCTTCAGTATTGTGGCAACACTATCTAATATGAGATTGAAAGGTCAACAAGGGAACAGACTAGTCAATGATCAAATGTAAACTCAAATCTGGACTCCAGTAAACTTGACTGACAGACTGTGCAGACTGTGTCACTTCTGTTTGTGTTTTAATTGTTTGGTTGTTTGTTTGCACTGAGACAGAGGACCTAGCCAACCCTCTGTTTACGGAGTTCAAGTTGCGTCCGCAGATAGA